GTTGAGTTGAGTTGAGTTGACAGAAGAATGTAAGTGCAGCTGCTGTTAGGCGTCCATTGTTGTAGTATTTATATCGTGGGAGAATGCTATTATTCAGTGTGCAAAAAAAAAATTGTGTGCAAAAAAAATGGTTCTCGCTAAATATTAAAACATGCGAGTGTAAAAAAAGAAGAGAAGAGAGTAATTATTAGGACTATTACAAAAGTTAGACCACTAATTGCGCCATCTGCCCATCGATTCATTACGCGCACATGCTTCATTTCCTCGGTTTTTTCATGCTAACAACTCGACAAGTTAAGAAGACGTTACGATTAGCAAATGGCAGGAGATCCCAATAAAGATTAACGGGGATATGGCGCGATAGACGGTCTGAAAGGGCAAACAGCCACAAACGACCACATAAAAAACAGTGTTGCATGGGCGATCAATAGAAAATTATAAATTTTTTCAAAAAATACTATTGAAAGCATGATCTAATTATCCCTACTTTAATCAGGATCCTGATCCTGGATTTTGTCATCCGTTTGCCCCACATACAAGCGTGCAACAAGGATTGGATCGAAACCGATATTATATAATTTTTTTCTCTGCTCCAACATTCCTTTTACCCTTTTAATACTTTAACGTTGTAGAAAATTTGTAAATTTGTACATTTGTAAAAAAAAAGCTTCTACAAGCAGCATTAAATAAAAGGCCGAAAAGACGCAATGCTCCGGGCAACACTATCGCGGCGAACAGCACGGGTGCTGCAGGCGACGCAGCGCAAGCAGCCCACACAGAGGCGCGCTTACAGCACAGCAGGCGAAACACCGGCGCCAGCAGCCGCCGAGAAGACCAAGGAGCGGCCGCGCATCCGGTACATGGGCATATCTGAGCCGTCAGCGGCGCTGCGGCGAATGACACAGCAGATCAGCACGGGTGAGCTCGACGTCAACACGCAATCGGACATCGACGCCTTCCGGTTCACCACCGACGACCTCCTGCGCGACTTGCCGATGCAGCGGGCGCGCGTGCTCGGCGACGCCACCACAGCGGCCATGTCGCTGGCCGTGGCCTCGCGCGAGGAGACCACCGAGCTGCTGGCCGTCGGGCGGCGGCAGCGCGCAGAGCAGATCAAGCGCGCATTCACGGCCAAGCAGCTCGGCGCATACCTGGGCGCCCACGGCGAGCGCAGGGGCGGCACAAAGTCCGAGCTGGCCATGCGCATCATCGACAAGCTATGGGGCATTTCGGCCAGGGAGTTCGCGGCTCGGCTCGAGAAGCCGCGCGAGCCGACGGCGGTGGCCGACGGGCTGACGCTGCCGCTGGGCGAGGACGCGCAGGAGCAGATGCGGCAGCTGGCGCCGGGCGCGGTGGCCGAGCTGGAGCGCGAGTACGCGGTGACCATCGCCATTGCGCCCGATTGCGCGACCGTCCGCGCGGCTGGCCCGATGCACGCGGTGCGCGGCGCGCTGTCGGCGCTGCGCGAGCGGCTGACGGCCGACACCACGGTCGAGGTCGACGTGGCCAGGTACACGGCCAGGCGGCCGCTGTCGGCGCGCCACGTCTCGCGTGTGGCCGGCAAGCTGGCCCATGCCATGGCGCACGTCACTGTCAGCAGCTGCGACGGCGAGCTGTTTGTCGGCGGCGAGCGGCGCGCAGCGCTGGACGCGCAGCAGGCGCTGGTCAGTGCGCTGGGCGAGTCGCGCGACGCGTTCTTCGGCGTCGTCCCGCGCGCGCTCTCGGGCCCGGTGGCCACGCTGGTGCCGGCCGCCGCGGTGTTCTCGCGCCCGCGCTCGTTTGTCCCCGACGCCGCGCTGCACGTTCAGGGCGTGTCGGAGCTCGCTGCGCCCGTGGCCGCGCTCAGCCACCATGCGCTGTTCGCCAAGCCCGGCGGGGCCGCGCTGCAGCTGTCCGCCGGCGCGCTGCCCGAGGCGCTGCGCGCGTGGTGCGGCGGCGCCGGGCGTGTGCGTGCGCGGCTCGGCCGCGTGCTCGTCGACGCGGACTGCGGCCACGCGGGCGAGCCGCTGGGCGCCCGGTTCCACGACGCGTCCGAGCTGCTGCGCCAGCTGGGCGAGCGCGCGCCGCTGTTCGGCTTTGCGCCCGACGTGTCCGCGCTGCGCTGGCTGCACGGCAGCAAGGATGCGCCGCTGAGCCGCTACGTCGAGCTGACGTTCCGGCGCATCGCCCTGGCCGCGGGCGGCGCCAAGTGCGCGTACACGCTGCCGGTGTACGCCGACGACTCGCTGGTTGTGCGCATCCCGGCCGACTCGGCGCAGCTGCGGTTCGGCGACATGCGCGTGCGCCGCCACAGCGACGAGCGCGCCGCCAATGTGGCCCTGCTGGGTGCTCCGCACGACTTCCAGGTGCTCGCGCACACGGAGGCTGCGGCCGACGGCGTGCAGGCTGAGGAGGTGCGCCGGGTGGCTGCACGCCTGGGGCTGCTTGGCGACGGCGCGCAGGTGGACGCCCGGCGCCACGATGTCGTGCAGCTGGGCGGCGGCGGCGAGCGCTTTGCGCTGACTGGCGCCTCGGTGGAGGCCGTCGTGCGGCGCCGCATTGTCGGCGGCTTGGCGGCGTCAATGCACCAGACGTGGGACATTATCGATGATCTGCGCTTCAGCCAGGTGCACCTGCACGCGCAGGCCGATGGCATTGAGGAGCTTGACTGGGACCGCTTCCTCGTTCTGCTGTTCCAAGCAGCCCACGAGCGGCCGACGACGCTGGCCACCAGCACGCCCTTCCACTAGAGGCTAGCGCTTTAGATGGGATAACAGTATATTGAGAGAAAATAGCTATTGGGACTTTAATGTGTGTACGCTGAACAAGCCATGAGAAGAGAGGTGTTTTTTTACATGCTACATGCTACATGCTACATGCTACATGCTACATGCTACATGCTACATGCTACATGCTACATGCTACATGCTACATGCTACATGCTACACGTTACATGCTACATGCTACATGCTACATGTTACAAGTCGTAGTTGGCCTTGTTAAAGTCCGGGTCTTGGATGAACGCAACCAGCACGCGGCTCCCCTGCTGCAGCAACGGATGCCCAGCGACAATCTGCAGAAACCGCTCGAGCCCCTCCCTTCTCTGCTCCACGACCTCCTCAGCAAACCTATTAGTGAACACCTTTCCAGGCAACGGCGGAATATTCACCTTATTTGTCTCGCTCTCCAACCTATCGCGGAACCACTCAAACTCACTGTACCGTCTGCGAACCGAGGACGCTTTCAATTTGAATACTGGAATGTTCGTGCGGCACACTATTTCGTAATCTGTGTACTGATTGCGCCCTGCTGGGTGTGTTTGTGGATTTTTCACCTCTATTTCGAGGAAATTCTCGGGCTCGCCGTACTGCTCTTCAACGGTTAACTCATGCTTAAATTGGCTGGCGATTCCTCCAAACGCTCTGTTGTGATGACCAAAGGACATTGATTGTATTTGTAATAATAAAGGAGTTGAATTTCAAGAAAACAAAAAAATAGTAAAGAATACAAAATACAAAATACAAAAAACGTGCTCGTCAGCACTAGTTTCTTTTCTGCGCACTATATTCTGAGACAAATCCCCAACCCGCAGGGTGATTTTCAAGATTAAATTGCGTTAAAAGGTAAGCGCGTAAACACAAAGATAAGTGCGTTAACGCCTTTCGCCAGAGGTATGAAAATGGCAGCACACACATGAAGCCCTCATAAGCATTTAGTAGCGGATTTTACTCTTGACTTTTTCTTTTTAGGATTTTGTAGCCTCATTCTTTTCTTCAGTGTATTTGTGTCCCCCCTTTTTTTATTGTCAGATTTTCCCTCGCTCATTCTCAGATGGCATCACATCAACTTTGAGGCTGATTGGCCTGAGATGACGCGCGCATTTTTTATTTTGCTATTGTTGCTGACTCGAACCGAGCCTCAGGCTCCCCACATGTAACATGTACATGTACATTAAATAATGGTTTAAATTACAAAGTAAACCTCAGAATGTATGAATAAGTTATATCAAGCAAAACCAAAAAAACAAACAAAATGGTACAATTAACTCTTTTTCTTCTTGTCACGATTGATTTCAGCCGAAAAACACGCATACGACACAAGCGCGAAGCAGTAGAAGCACATGCACACAATAATAAGGTTTCTGTAGAACCCCGTTCCCTTTCCAGCATAAATTATAGTAGACTTGTCTTCGAAAAACACTGCATCCAGCTGTCTGTCATTGAGCGCAGCTAGCCCAGTGGCAACCATGCCAAAGATACGATTGAGTTTTCTCCACCAGCGACGTCTATCGTGATATTGGGCATAATGGTTACGCAGCATCCACAGCCAGTTTAGACCCGCCGAGCCGCCAATTGCGCAGCGAGTGAAAATATGAACAGGCCAGTACAGCGCATAGTATTTAGTTTTGCCGCTTGAATTGGCAAGATTGACCGTGTTTTGTTCCCACACGCCGAATACGCCCGTCATTGCTAATACTGGAGCAACCCCAAAAACTAACTGAACAATCAGTTGGATTATCTCAAACTTGTGCTGGCCAAAGTACCCGGGCGACTTTTCTTTTTTCGTTGTTTGCGTCTCGGTTGATATGCCTTGTTCGAGCGTTGGTGAGTCACTCATTGCTAAATACTATGCAATATAATTTCTGGCTTGAGTGCTTAGTTTACAGAGAAAAAAATTGTTATGTAGACAAACTTTATACAAGTGCGGGGATTAATATATAATAGATAATATGTAAAATGTAAAAATATCGTTATTAAACTGTCAAGTAGAGAAAATAAAAATATAACAATACAGTCTTTCCTTGCCGCTAGGTAGGTTTGTTTTTTAAATAAATTTCTTGTAAACAGTAAAAATTCATTTATGGTTTTTCTTTCACAAAATTTATTTTGCTTTATAGGACTTTATTTAATTGTGCCAAGCATAAATATAAAGACAAATGTGTTTCTTTTTACCTCAAAACAAACAATTTTATTTTATAAAGAGAATCATTTTTCGCATTGCATCTAAAAATAAAAAGCTGACACGCGTGTAAAGACAGTTGAAAAATTGTTACGGTCAAGCAAATAAATAATGCGCATTTATATGAATGCAAAGTAAAAGGGAGTAGAAGAGAGTAGACGGAAGATGGGAGTAGATGGAAGTGGAAAAAGGTAGAAGTGGGTAAAAGTATATAGTGCAAGGTATAAAATATTTAAATTGCTATGCTAAATTTAATGCTTATAATAGTAAAAATAAAATGGGCAGCATGTAGTGTTTAATGTAGGCGAATTTGCTAAAATAATAATAAAAGTACATATTTTAATATAGCATAATTAGTGATAAAAAAGGTAAAAATAAATCCCATAAGCAACCAGCACTCAACGTCTCTTGTGCTTAATTTCAGCCGAAAAACACGCATACGACACAAGTGCGAAGCAGTAGAAGCACATGCACACAATAATAAGGGTTCTGTAGAACCTCGTTCCCTTTCCGATATAAAGTATAGTAGACTTGTCTTCAAAAAACACTGCATCCAGCTGTCTGTCATTGAGCGCAGCCAGCCCAGTGGCAACGACGCCAAAGATACGATTGAGTTTTCTCCACCAGCGACGCCTATCATTGTAATCGGCACAGAAATTCCATACCATCCATGCCCAGTTTAGACCTGCCGAAGCACCAACCGCACAGCGAGTAAAAAGATGAACAGGCCAGTACAGCGCATAGTATTTAGTTTTGCCGCTTGAATTGGCAATATTTACATTGTTTTTCTCCCATACAGCAAAAATACATGTCATTAATAACACGGGTGCAACTCCAAAAACCAACTGGATTATTAATTGAGCAAACTCTAGTTTGTTTCCGCCGATACGCCCTTTTGATTTTTCTTTAGAGGAACTTTTTCCCGCTTGTTTGCTTGGGCCCGGTTCTGAAGTTTGTGTTTCTGCATTATTTCCCACCAATTTGCTTGAGTTCGAATCTGAAAGTTTTACTGCCGCATTTTTGAGGAATTCGTCTCTTTTTTTTGCATATGAGTTATAATCATTAATGGGGACTAGATTCCCTTTTTTATATGGGTTATACTCATTAATGAGGGCTGGGTCCCTTTCTGCTGCTGGAGCGGATCTAAAGGGGTTTGTTGACGGATATGAGGCCAAGTCTTTTTTATGTTGCATAATAGCCTTGTAAGGGTTATTCGAATGTAGCGTTGCCGGGCCCCCTTTTAAAGATGACATTGTACTGTATAGCTTTCTAGCTGCATAAACAAAAGTATAAGGACCAACCGGTATTGAGTTTGTGACGCGCTGACTATTGTACTCGCTGGAAATATGTAGTTGGGATTTGTTAAAAGAGGGTACAAAAATATGTTGGAAGGTAAAATAAATAATAATAAAGACAAAGCCAATGAACTGGAATTCCCAGTTTTCAATTCAATACATGGCAAATTTATCTGGAGGCTACTTGACACTATTATTTTGAAATGTTTGCACAAAACAAGCAGGATTTTTTATATAATGATATTTATTATCCTTTATATTATTAATTTTGAAGGATAATAAAAAACAGGTTTGAATTCATTTTCTTAGCAGCAAAAGGAATTTTTTATAAAATGCAAACGCCCATGCAAAATTACCACGCGGGAGGCATTGTGACAAAATCCAAAGGACAGTGCAAACAAAAAGATGGGCCATTCGGGTTTGCTTCAAAATAAACAGATTTTTTAGCACAGTGACTTAGTGCGAAGCTTATTATAAAAACAATAAAATACATTAAACAATAAGATGATCACAATAATTCACCTTTATTGGGCGGCGGCACTGCGTTTATAGCCGTTGAGGGGACGTTGGTGCTGATGTCCGAGTTTGAGGGATTACGCTGTGCGTGGTAATTGAGGCGGCTGTCCTAGACTAAAGTGTTGCAAAACTTAAGCGTTCCAATGAGCTCTTCTTTTCCCGGGTCAAACTGAAACCATTGACACGGCACCCGTTTGTTCAGTGGTCGTTGAATGTGCGAACGGCCTTGAGATATGAGATTGAATAGTGAAAGTCTTGCACGTTGCGGCTCATTACTGGATATTTTCCAGCGACTAAACATGGCATCAGACGTGAGGTTGATATTGTCCATTGAAAGCTCGGCGTGCGCATGGTATATCTTCCAGACAGCCAAACCGTGGAGTGCGTCTGCATTTGGAAAATAATTCCTCGACATTCCAAAGTGTTGGAATATAGGAACATTCTATGAACGTGTAGATAAAATATAATGATATAAAGTATATTTAATAAATAAGTGCTATGCACTGTGAAAGGTAAAGAGTAAGGAGCATATTGCCTTGGTCATTGTGTGACTTATTGTTTGTGTGGCTAAACAGCCAAGACTGGTTAATCAGTTGATCGCCATCAACCAATAGTTTCATCGCCTTTTGCCTCGGAGATAAAAACAAACCATGCAGTAACAACCTGAACAATGCAAATAGCAAACTCGTTAACAAGCACAGGCACACGTTCGTCGAGGAGACCAAGTTTGAGTGCCCGCAGTTCATTGGTGCAGATGGGGTTGCTAATTATGAGGGACCAACAATTCTGGCGGCGTATAAATCCCATATCTCAGCGCTTTAACAGGCAGTTCAAAAATATGGTTGACATACCACTTGACGTAAAGAAAATGACTGAATGGCAATACAAGGAACTTACGGAGGGTGGCCACACCAAAAAGGAAATACAACATCTGATTAGCAAGGAAATCAGAATTCTAGCAGGCAAGATGAAATGGGCTCTGTTGTCTGCTAAGACCAGCAAAGCCGGGAAGCAGATCAACACCAAACAAATTTCAGACACTGTGCTTCGCGACAGAATGGCGTGCCTAATTAAGAGGGTTTTTTACACCTACCCTGAGGACTACAGTTTTAGTGACAAGGGGCTCCAGTATGACTCTGTAGCCAATACAGTGAACCACATTGGGGCTTTTGTTGAGATTTTCCGGGTTTTAAATCTCAACAAAGGTGTGCAGACGATTTCCCTTTTCTGATGAGGATGTCTATTGTACCCGGGGTTTACGATAATTGACAAGACTATTCCTGCACGGCGTATTCTGTCCATCACAATGAGCCGACTCAGAGCACTACACAAGGATGGTCTTTGCCTGGATATCAAGGTCTCCAAGATTCGGCCTACGAGGAAGCTTTTAGTCAAGTCACCAGAGGAAATTTGGTCACCTTGTGATATCTCATGTTGGCCGTTTGCATTCGATTATCAAAAGGTCGAATAACCACAGAAATTTGGAGGGATCATTCGTACCGATGGTGTTGCAATAATCGTATGGCTTGACTCACCTGCAAACACACAGAAAAAGAGGATCAAGGTTAAGAGTACTTCACAGTCTTAGAAAGGTTCTGACGATGCTGACAACAACAACAGCAATGTCGGTAAATTTGCCAATGGTGTACCCCACAGTAAGAAGGCATCTCCTCCCGAGTACATTGATAATTTACCAAAAATGGCATTCATTATATTGTTGGAAAATCAATTCCTTGTGATACAGGTCGACGGGATATGCTCTATTGTCTGGGATATAAAAGCAACTGCAAAAAGGGTGAGAGAAATAGTTTCTACCACACCAAAAATTCTGAGGCCAATAAACATCGTGAACGCGTGTTTCCTCAGATCCGCGAGAATGCAAAAAAAAAGATTCCAACTTAACCCCACGAGGCTCGCCAAGACGGAAACAAATGATTGGTATATGTCTGTTGAGAATTCTGAGCGCACGCTCAACCACCCTGACCCCAGTACACTTGATTGCAAGCTATATGTTGAGTACCTCCTTGAGTGCCGTAAAGGTGATTTTATTTTGGGAGAATATTATCACAACGCGCAGACCCTCGGCAAGAGTCGAAAGTACGACGGCAGCAGCTCAAATGACCCCCTCCACTGCAAGCTCCGCTATCTTTTCTTTGTTAACAGAAAGCGCGCCGACGTCGAACTTGCAAAATCTTTGCGTGCAAAATTTGGACCAGATCCAGTCCTTATTCTTGGTAACTGGATCCCAAGCATGACCTGTCATCGTGAGTCAATTCGTGGCAAGGGGCTGCAGGAGATGCTAATAGGCCAGGGGTCCACTGTTTACTTGATCGACGAGTATTGCACCTCAGCGTTTTGCCCAGCATGTGAGGGCAGTATGGAGAAGCTTCACAAAATTGATGATCCTCGTCTGCAGAATCCTAAGCACAGGAGCCATGTCGTAATGGCAGTAGTAGCAGCATCTAATTATATCGCAGCTTCAACCATTTCAGCCACTGTCTGCCACAGTAGCAGTCATTGCCATCTATGTTGCAACCACAACTGCCGCCGATGACATATATATTGCTGACAGTGGACATCAGAGTCGCGACCAGTGGATGCCTATTCGCCCACAGTCTGCCGGTATCATTCTGTGGATAGGGGAGGAAAAGGGCTGGTCTAAGGGAAAACTTTCCCGCAAAATTAGACAGAGGATGCCCAATTGGTTGGCCGCGCAGCAGCAGCAGGTAGCCGCAACAGGCGTTAATACAATTCCAGCAGTAGAAAAACCTCGCCAAATTTTATTACACGACTTGCTCCAGTGCGTAATGGAAGACTGCCTGCAAACCTTTAGGGCCGGCGGAACGCGGGTTGGGGATAAAGAAAAAGTGCCATCAGGCAAACGAAAGTGGAATCGTGACATGGCTGCGGTGTTGGACTTTCGCATCCTTTTTAATGCCCTGCTTAAAGGCAAGCGTCCTCCTCGTTTCTTGTGTAAAAAGGTACCATCGGGGTCGGCTGAGCCCGAGTCTACAGCGATGGTCAAGCCAAAGCCAAAGCCCAAGCGTGTGCGCAAGAATCCATTTCCTCTGCTTCTTCTCTTCAAAAGAAGCAGCCGACTGGATAATATCGTCAACTATAGTGGTCTATTGCCATTAGTTTCTAAACACTTTATCTGAGGGAAGGATGTCGGTTTGCAGAATATTTGTAGCCCCATTATTTTCTTATAGCGTAACCAGGAATCGCAGAACCTCGT